ATTTTGTTTGCAGCGGTCCACCATACCAGAGCACCGTAGAGCAATATGGGCTTAACTACCGCTGTGTAACACCAATGCATGAGGCCAGGGGATAGGCCCCATGTGGTACCCAGCATCTTTTTACATGCGTAAAGGGCACCACTGGCCTTTTTCACCCTTTCCTCCACATTTAGCTTCCACATCAGTTTGCTGTCCAAAATTACTCCCAGGTACTTGGTGTGATCCTTGATTGATAGCTCCGCCCCGTTGAGCCTCGGGGGTTTCCACGCGGGGATTTTGTACCTTCTTGTGAACAGTACCGCATCCGTTTTGTCAGCATTTACCTCTAAGTTGACTGTTGTCGCCCATCGATGTACGACCCTTAGAGCGCTTTCCATTACGTTACTGATCGTGTCTAGGAATTTCCCCGTAACAACTATAGCTATGTCGTCCGCATAGGCAATTAGTCTGGGTGCTTTCCCTTCGAATTTTCCCAGAAGCTCATTCGCTACGAGTAGCCACAGGAGTGGTGACAGAACACCACCCTGAGGAGTTCCTCTATGCGCTAGTCTGAGCAACCTGGCTTCGTTCCACTCCGCCTTAATTTTCCTGCAGCTCAGCAGGCTTTTTATCCATAGTAGGATGGCAGACTCTACCTGGGCTGCTTCTAGGCTTTCCATTATTGCCTCATAGGAGACATTATTAAATGCCCCACTTATGTCCAGAAAGACCCCTAGGGCATATTCTTTATGCTCCAGAGCTTTTTCTATTACCGCGGTTAGTGAGTGAAGTGCAGTCTCAGTGGATCTACCCTTCGTGTAGGCATGCTGCGCCTTTGATATGCTGGCCGACGGCAGCTTATCCCTAATGTAGGCGTCCAGAATCTTTTCGAGCGTCTTTAGAAGGAATGAAGTTAGACTAATTGGTCTGTATTCTTTCGAATAGAGGGGATTTCCCTTGCCCGCCTTCGGTATGAATACGACCCTCGCCTCTCTCCAAAGGACAGGCACATAGTTTAGTCTTAAACATCCCTCGTATATTGTTTTCAAGTATGGTGTCAGCACTGCGGAAATTTTTTGCATCATGGCTGGAAAGATACCGTCTGTGCCTGGGGACTTAAACGGCCCGAAGCCATCGATTGCCCACCGTATTTTTTCTTCCGTTATGATGTCCGGGGGGACATTTTCCACGCTATCTCCTAGAAGTTGCAGATCTATGCTGTCTGTACACCCCGGAAAGTGTGTGTTGACTAGGTCTTCCAGTGAGTCCTCACTGCTTCCAGTCCACTCTCCACATTTTTTACGTAGTAACCTTGGATTAGTCGGGTTCTTGGATAGCAATTTCCTTAGCCTGGCTACCTCGGTTGTTTTTTCTAATTCGCCGCAGAAGCTCTTCCACGACTCCCGCTTGCATTTACGAATCTCTTTCTTGTAATCCTTAAGTACTTCCTTGTATTCCATCCAGCAGAACTCGTCATCGGCTACCTTGGCCAGTTTGAAGAGTTCCCTAACATTTTTCCTGAGTGCTCCGAGCCCCCTGTTCCACCAAGGTGGCTTTGAACCTCGCTTGGCATGTAGCGGAGGGCATGCGATGCAATAAGCTTTATTTAGAGTGTTGGTAAGTGAGACTACCAGTTCCTCCAATTCAGAGTGGGAGTCACTTACCCTATACTTGGTTAAATTCTTCCTCACTACCCTTTCATACAATTCCCAGTTTGTATTCCTGTGATTTCTGAAGGTTTCGCTTTTTGTACGGGCTGAGAATTTTACCTGAAATCCTACATACCTATGGTCAGAGAACGAGGGTGTACTAAGCACCTCCCAATTCTGTACTCCGATTCCCCCACTAGTGTGGAGTGTTATGTCAAGGACGTTCTTCGAGGTAGGGCCAATATAAGTTGGTTCCTCACCCCGGTTAGCTATATCTAAATTACTTATTAATATAAAGTTTAGTAAAGACTCACCCCTTTCGTTGGTATCTCCACTCCCCCATACTGTGTTGTGCGCATTGGCATCCGCGCCTATGATGAGTGGGCGTTTCGCCTTCTCGGCCTCTCCCACCAACCTCCGGAGCTCGTTTGGTGGCGCCTCCTCGTCGTGAGGCATGTAACAAGATGCAAGGAGTATTGTGTCATCCTTGCCATCCTTCACAGCTACCACCGTCAGATCATCTGAAGAGAAATTAAGATCAATATAAGAGTGTATACTTTTCTTTACCAGTATAGCTGTTCTTACCCTGTTTGTTGCACTCGGGATGTGCGTATAGTAAGTTTGCGACTTTAGTCCAGCTACCACGTTTCCCGACGCTATCCATGGCTCCTGGACTAACGCCGCATCGTAGCCGATCCTCTCTAAATTGAGGAGGAGCTCGGCAGAGGCGACCTTGCTTTTATGCAGATTTATTTGAAGAACCTTCACTGCAAGGATCAGGATTCTTTTCGGGGTCGGGTAGAATCTCCGGATCGCCCTTCTCGGTCTCCTGGAGCTTCAAGGTGGCCTCCAGGATCTCTCCCAGATCCTTCTCGACCTCTCGCTCCTCCAGCGTGTTAGCATTGTTATCGGCCAGGCTTCGCTTCTTCAGGCGAAGGTATACGCTACCTATGCCCTACGCCATCTTCCCGAACCTAGCGTATAGTATGTCTTCGGCCGGCTTGTTGATTTGGAGGATGTAATTTTGGCTGCCATCCTCCTTACAGGAGTTGGTGACCTTTAACACCCTCCAATCTCCCGTCGGCACGTCTGGGTTCTGTCTCTGCAGAAGCCGCAGCGCATTCTCCGGTTTTACCGTGCGGGGTATGAGCACCTTCGCTTTCGGTATGGATGGTATGCAGCTGCGGTCCACAACCTCCAAGACGGCGCCCTCCCACAGGCCTTGAAGCGGCGTAAAAGCTTCCTTTACCCATAGTAGAGAGGGATCGTCCTTGCATTTTATTATTTTCACCCCATTTAGCCACCCCGCACCATCGAAAGTTGGCATGGTCGTGGTGGGGTCCCCATCCATTTTTGCGACAAGCGCATCCAGCAGCTTATGCTCTACTGCTCCCCAGCGCTCCTGAGAGATTTGTCCCAGCGGATTGCTCCGGTCTATGAGTGCCACGATAAGGTGTCTTCTGGCTATCTCACTGGCCATTGCCGCCGCTCTCGATGTAGTCGGTCTCTCTAGATCGAGCCTGACGTTTGACTTTGCAGCGTCGTCTCTGCGCCTCGATTTTTTGGCTGGCCTTGCTGTCTCGCTTTCAGCTGACCGCTGCCTTTTAGCCGCGATTCCTTCCTCTATCCGGTTTGCGAATCCCGGATCCGTGGCAGTGAATCGTGGCCTTGCCGCGTAGTACGCCCGGCCTTCCTCCATTTTCTCCTTAGCCCAAGCCAACCTTTCCTCCTCTTCCTTCGTCCGGTTGGACTTGCAGCTAAGTCTCTCGTGGACTTTGACCGCCGCCTTGTATATTGCTTTTGCCTTCAACCCCTCCTTACTGGGTTTTGCCCTAGGCCTTTTCTTTGATGCCGAACAAGCACCTTTGGCATCCCCCGGAGAGCGTAGCAAGGCCTCCTCTTCTTGCGTGCAAACGCTCTCACCGCTTTCGAGGTCCGAGTCTTCGTGGACTGTGGCACCCCTGCGCTGTAGCGTCGCTTTGGCGGTAACACTACAACCGCTGTGAACCGCTCCCTTCACAGCGGAGGTGTGGCCGCTGGCGACACAGCAAGTAGACTCGCTGTGCCCGCCGGTGGTAGTAGCCACTTCTCCCACCGACGTTTGGGCTGATATCCCAGCCCGCTCTTCTTCCTTTCTGGCCTCCATGATGAGTTTTTATGTCAGGGAACCTCTACCCCTAGCGTTTTATACCTACCGCCAGGTACCTCGTTAGCAATGGCAGAAGTAGGCATACACCCCCCTCCCCCAGTTTCATATGCAGAGCAAAGCACTAGGAAGAGAAGGATGGATACGTATTCCTGCCTTCGCTAGACGCCGCCTGCTCCCACCGCCAAGACCCGCTCTAGGTACTAGCCTAGGTGCTAAGCCATCGCGGTGACAGCAGCGACGCCCATTGCCCAGTCGGCACCCGCGGGGAGGATTTAGCTAAGAGGATTTTTGCCGACCTCGGAGCAATATTGGTCCAGAAACAAAAAAGACAATAGTTTCCACCCAGTAGCATATTTCTCAAAAAAGAACGTCAGAGGCCGAAAGCCGCTATCACAGTTTCGAATTGGAAACACTAGCAGTTATCTACGCGTTACCGAGGTCTAGAGTGTATCTGGAGGGCTTAAATTTCAAAATAGTAACGGATTGTAACTCACTAGCACAAACCCTTAATAAAAATCTAGTTAACAGTCAAATTGCAAAATGGGCGCTAGAGCTTGAAAGCTTCAACTACACAATATCCCACCGGGCAGGTACGAAAATGCCGCACGTAGATGCGTTAAGAAGAGCAAATTCTGACGGGATAGTAGCTGTAGTTGATAGCGAAGACATAGATTTCCAATTACAATTTATGCAAAATAGGGACAAAGAAATAACAGAATTGAAAAACCAACTGGAGAAGGAGAAACTTACTTACTTACTAACTTCGCGATGGAAAATGGGGTAGTTTTCAGAAAACATGGCAATCAGTTATTGCTATTTGTCCCTAAGGAGCTAGAAAGAGAACTTATAAGGTCAACACACGAGCAGTTGGGGCATCAAGGTGTCGACAAGTGCTATCAGAAACTTAAAACAAACCACTTAGGACCACTTCCGTCACTGCAATCAAGAAGGAAGCACATTTTAGTAATAATATATGCGTTCACTAAATACATTAAATTATAGCCAGTACTACCACTAGTACCAAAGAAGTAACAGCAGCCCTAAACAAATATTTTGAATACTACAGCCGACAGTTCTTTTACGTCCAAATAATTCAAAGAATACTTTGGCGACAGAAACATAACCCATATAAAAGTAGCAGTGCATTCGCCTCAAGCTAATGGTCAGGTAGAAAGAGTGAATCGAAGCCTAGTAGGCACGTTAACAAAACTGAGTGAACCTGTAGCCCATAGCGCCTGGGTAAAACAACTGCTGAAAATTTAGTTCGCATTTAATAATTCTGTTAATAGTTCAATAGGAATAACCCCAAGCCGAGCCCTTTATGGTGTAAATCAAAGAGGTGAAACCTTAGATAGACTAACATAATAACTAGACGAGCATATTCTAGCCCCAGCTAGGAAGGGACCTAGAGTCAATACGAAACACCGCAGGAGAGCGTGTTAGGAAGGCTCAGGAGTACAACTTACTGCGTAGTGAACAGAGGAGCGGCAGGACAGAGGAGTTTGAAATAGGGGACTTTGTAGTTATTAAGAACGTAGGCAATACCGTAGAGCCTTTTGCCAAAATTTAACGGCCCATACGTTATCCACAAGAAACTCCCCAACGATCACTACGTAGTTAGGGACATAGAAAATGGGCAGATAACTCAAATCCCGTACGATGGTGTAATCGAATCCCGAAACATTAAAAAATGGAAAACGAAAGAAAGCGATACTTAACCATTGGTAAACAATTTGCATATACTAGAGATAAGAATAACTGTGTGCGGTAATCTATGTGATCGAGGCCGATCACACTTTGTCAGATTGGCTAAGCTGTAGTAGATTAATATGAAGTGTGTAAACACAGTATTATAATTACTCTGGTAACAATATGGCAACACTGATATTGTCTATCGTAAAATATGTGCATGGTCAGGGGCGGCGGAAGATGTGGGTATGGTGGGTAGTACTACCCAGCTGAAATTTTTAAAAGTGGGTAATTACCCACCTGAAAATTTTGTAGAAAAAAATAAGTCCAATTGAAAATCCTGTATTTACCACACCAGAAGAATATTTTCGGAAGATGTATTATGAAATTTTTGACCAAGTTGTTTGCTCCCTGACAAGTAGATTTGATACTAAATCGGCAACGTTTTATAAAACTTAAGAAAAGTTCATTCTTGGTGAGACAGTGGATTTGAAGAAAATATCAATGCAAACTCAATAGCGATAAAGATATGGCGCACAGAGCAAAATTCAGAATCTGTGAAAGATGTGCAATTTTTGCGGAAAACGAATTGTTTGTGCGACTTGTTTCTGTATATGTACGCTCCATTAGATTACTTGTTACAATTCCAGGGTCATCATGCTCTAACGAGAGGCGCTTTTCTGTTTTGCGTAGGGTGAAAAATTATTTGTAGCAAGGGTTGACTTTAGTGTACATCGAAAAGTGTGTATTTTAGCAAAACTATAGCGAATTTTTTCATGAAACTTTACGAGGATGCTAAGAAACAGATATCGTTACATAAATTCTCACTATTTTCACTTTGTTAATACTAGCATTTAATTAATTTGTTCTTTAAATTGTTTGCACTTCCACTAGCCAATTTTCATATAAAAAGTGCCGCTAGGGTTCGAGATTTCAGACTTTGGTATCTATACTGAGTACTCATTCTGGCATCGAGCTCATGGTATCGATACTCTAAAAGTATCAGGAAAAAGTATCCATACCCATATCCATATCGGACTCATTAAAATACGTTTTTTGGGGTACTAAAATTATTTTATTCTTCAATCGTATATCTAGTTATTTCCTGAAATTAAAACAATAGACATTTAAAACATTTGATTTTTATTTCATTGCAGAACTTACTTTCACGTTAGAAGTAATTTTAATGTTAAATGTACATACATACATACATATATATATATATATATACTTTCACGAATTTCAAATTTTTTTAAGAACTTTTGTAAACTTTGTGGGTATGCATTTCTGTAGCCTTTTAAATTTTTTGGTTTATGTTATGCAAGAGACTACACGAAACTTCAGTTTCTTTTAAGCGATGGGCAAAATTGAATGATAGTAATCCATATAAGCAAAGAAAATTGTGTTGCCAAAGGAAGAAAAAATTTAAAAAGTGTGTTTTTTAAAAAGCATTCGATACTGCGAGTACTTTGCAAAGTATCGAGTAAAATCCCCAAATAAGGTATCGAGTATTAAAGTACTCATTTTTATACCCTCAGTATCGATGCTTACTCAATATCGATAGTATCGTTCGAACCCTAAGTGCAGCTATCACTTATATTTTCATAGATATGAATGCTTGTAACCGAACATTTTGTAACAAGCTAATTTTGTTACCAACAATTGTCACCACTTCTTGCAACCGCAATTCTATTTACCTTGGTAACGTTTTAATTTATTCAGCAATTCAGCTATGGAGTTTTGTGTAAATTCTGGTGTTGCATATTTCACGGGGCAATACTTTGTTACCTGCTCATGGGATGGTAACAAAATTTACCGGTTACAAGAGTGTGGAGAATACGAAAAGGGTTTAAAAATTGACAGTAACTTTACTAACCGGTAACAAAATTTTTGTTGCCAACGCAGAATAGGCCTGTAAATGTATATTTTTTAACAATATAAAACGCGTTTAATAATTTCACTACTTTTGTTCAACTAAGTAAACAAGCAAACAAATCAAAATGGCTGTAATGGTGAATAGAAAGGTGCTTCCAGATGTTCGAAAATTAAATACACGAAAATGAAGGGATGTTCAACAATCTACTTTTGCTTCACAATTATCTCGATAACATTAGGGAATAAATTAGTATAATGTGTTTATTTTTTTAAATATGTTAAACAGTGAGCTCTACGTAAAAGGTGCTCAGCCCTTCTTCGGCAACACAGAAAGGAGAATTCGGAACAAGTAAAAAATACCCACCGTTTCGCTAGAAAAAACGGAGTCGATAGAGCTTTTTGAGCTGATTATAACGGTACTAAAATTTACTTGCAGAAATTAAAATTAAGCGAGATATCGAAGGTCAAAGATCGAAATTTGCTTTTTGAAAAACCACAATATCTCAAAATCTAGTAAAGCGTTTGTAAAAGATAATATATAATTTTAAAGGAAATTAATACACCTTTCTTTTGGTCTGCATTCCTTATGCCTTGCATTTCTAATTTCGGTAAAAGTGCACTTTAGATGAACTCCAACTCCTTTTTGCGTAGGCGGCCTTCGGCCGCACTTAGGAATTATAACCCTCAGGCAGTAGAATTCTCTTTTGTAGAGACCAACTTTCATTTACTCCATTATTTGCATCAAATTCATCATAACATGGTGCGAAAAGTGCAAAGTGCAAGTTTTTTTTGCGAATAACTCTTAAATTAATTAAAAATCTTAATGCCCCCGGATTGTTATTGTTCGCCTTAAAACGCGTCGATTGATACCACTCTCGATTTGTTCCGTCCATTTTGACGTGGTTCCCGTAAAGTGCACTACTACCCTAATTTCTGATAAAAATTGGTTTTTACAAAAAATATATGAAAAAATTCCATTTAAACTGCTTTTTCCAAAACTAGCCTTATTAGGATAGTGTTGTCGTTCTTTTGGTATAAAGAAAATTAATTTCCCTTTCGTTTGATGGGCGTATGTCAATACCCAAGTTCTCGGTGCAAATAAATTTTATAGCAAAGAAGAGAGGCTGAACACCTTTTGCAGAAAACACCTTTCTGCGTAGGCGGCCTGCGGCCGCGCTTAGAGATTATAACCCGCACCAAGTAGAATACTCGGTAAAAGTGCACTTTAGCTTACAGGGCCAAAATGGGCGAAAAATTTCGAAAGTGGTATCAATCGACGCGTTTTAACGCCAATAATAATCATCCGACGGCGGAGATTAACTTTTTTAATTAATTAAAGAGTTAGGGGAAACTTTCCAATATGGGCGTTCATTAAAGGGGCGGTGGCCGAAGTGGGAGTGGGCGTAGCACCTCCAACCCAAAATTCTGCGATATTACTTTTTGACATTATTTTATCATTTGACAGCACCAACCTCGTTGTTCAATTGCAACCCTTGCATGTTTACTACTTCTTTCAATCTTTTGTCGTGGTTAAATTAACAAAATAGCCTATTACCTAAAATAAAATGGTGATGTGCGGTAAAAGAGTTTACAATTAAGTCACATTTATCTATTTTGGATAATGAAATCGATGAAATTTGCATCAACATATTTGGTGAATTTCGCAACTTTAACAACAAATTACTTAAAAACTATAAGAGTGCGCGCGGTGGGGTCTT